AGTTATCCACCTGAACATCGGGAACAGTATCATAACCATCGCAGAACAAAGTTCAGCTCTCTTAAACTGAAGGAGTGGGCATTGAGGTACCGGAGGTGTGTGAAAAAGAAAACGAAATGGTTCACACGCTCTGGAACTCCATCCCTTTAGGCTGCACAAACATCATAACACCCCTTCCTCCAAGAGTGCCAAAACTCTTGAAACAGATCTGCATTCATACTATAGACGACAAGCAATAAAAATAAGTAATATTACTAGTACTGGTCAATGTCCGTTTTTTGGTAACGAATTTAAATAAGAACTTCAAGAAAAAAAATTCGTATTGAAGGCTTACGGTGAATGGAGATATAGCATTACATTCTTCTTTTGTGATGCCCTGTCAACAGAAGACATAAGAAAGCTCATCTAGCAACTCTCCAGATTCCCTCCTCTTAAGCTCGTTAACTACTTTCGAGAAGGTTCTCCTCTGCCATGCGCGAAGTAGTTATTTAGAATATTTAAGGAAATATCAAGCGTTTCGCCTATGGAGAGGCCAATTACATCAAAAGGATAGACAGTTGAATGGATGCTTAACTTTGCAACCTAAGGTACGAGGAAAAAACACACTATTTGTAAGCTTATTGCAGTTTTGCTATTGTATAGCACGTTCTTCCTCCCTTGTAAACAGAACCGCGAAATCAATGCAAAAACTGTGAAATCATAACGCTATCATCTATCACACAACTTTCAATTCTCTAGAGGCAAAGAAACATACGGTGTGGTCATGTGTGTGTCCACTGATCATCTCTGGTGGCAGATAGTCCAGTGTTCCGCAAATCGTCTCCCGACGTGAGTGACAAGAAACCACGGCCCATCCAAAATCGGCAATCTATAAAATTTTCAAAGAACCATAAGGTGAAGGGTGATAATGGTGATGGAGGGCCTCTATTGCGCTCTGAGTCTTCAGTAAGATTTCAGTGGTTCAAGGTTACCTTCAGCGATAAGGATAAGAACTCCGAGAACACGCTAATATGAGATGACTGGGTTTCTGATAAAGCTACTCAGAGGTCCTAAATGGTACCGATCAATAAAACTCTGACCATGTGAACTCTGGGGTTCCTTCTCACCACCTCTTCCTTACACACAAGCCTTCTTGCCCTCAGCCCAAGAAAGCTTCGCTCCTCCATTCTGGGCTGACTCAGCTGATCCTTATCAAAAAGCTACTTCGTACAGAAGTTACCGGAGCTCCTTTCCTTGGCATTACAACGTCCTATCTTGACCATTATTGTTAGAACCACAGAGCAAAATGTGGTGCCCCCACAAACGCCACTTTCACAATGTACAGTAAGTATAATATAAGCAGAAGCAAGTCTACTACTTAGGGAGAGGAATAAATCAACCTGAACAGAAGAAGTGAGAATGCTGGTGTCGTCGGTGCGACATCATTCTCAGAGAGCACATACAGCCAATACCTCCCCTCTCCCCATTCCCCCTAAGACTAAGCCTTAAGGGGATTGGCAGAGGGGAAGTGCAAGCAATTTTTATTACCTCCTAGCTTAGTCCGCACAAGGATGCTCCACCTGACAACGCCAGCGCCGGAGTGAGATTCAAACTCGGCCTAAGATGCCGAGCTCAGAATCACTTTACGTATCTACAGAACAATCCTTCGAAAGAAGTTATAAAGCGGAAAAGCGCAGCGATGGTGTTTAAAGGTAAGAATTTCCGGAATTCTGTGTAGGTTTTCTCTATGGTCGGCATTAGTATAGCTAAGAAACATGACCTATTCCAGCGACGCTTGCCTTCAGCTGCCTGTATGAAAAGCTTGTAATCATTCGATGGCACTCTCAATGATAATAATAGACAAGTTAGCGTGTGCGAAAAAAAAACTTGCACAGCTACTTGCAGAAATTGGTCAGCAGGCAACGGACAGTTCTAAATTCAGCGTCTCGAAGTCAATAAAGACCTTTCGATTGACCATGTGACCTGTTTACTTTCTGGCAGTTATCAGTAGTGCGATGATCACGGAAGAGCTTGCAGCAAGAACGTGTAGGAATTGGTCAATCAAGAAATATCCTAGTATTGGTCACGATTGCTTGATTCTCATAGGCGTCAGATGCGTCAGGGTCGACGGACTACTTGAACGTAGCCCTTCAAACCGTCACTGCGCTCTGTCGTTCGTGGTCCCTCTCCTCTCCAAGCTTAAGTCAATAGGGGTCTCCGTTTGTTAGCGGCTTCACACGTTCTCGTCGGTGCTTACTGCGGCAGGACATTGAGGAAAAACCAGGTAGCCCGCAAGCCGGTAAACTACACGGATCAGTGAAGACCTGCCCCACTCATGATTGCACTTTGCATCGCGACAGCATCAAGTCTCAGGCCTACCTTACAGTGGGTCGATGCAATCTTCGAAGGAAGGCTTTCCCCAGTGTAGCAACTGCGGTTAAGATGAATCAGGGCGGTGTATCGGAATCTTTTTCCAATTACTTACCTTTACATTTCCTTTACCGTCTAGAAGAATGTTTTCTGGTTTTATGTCACGATGAATAACTCGTTTTGCATGACAATAGCTGAGTGCGTCCGCAAGTTGACGAACATATCTAAGTAAGCCCATTATATTACCAAAATATCAACGTAATTCAATATCGAATCACAAAAAGATACCGGGCTGCTTCTGGTTCCTCGAGTCTACCCTTCTTCTTCAAGCGAGAATATAATTCCCCACCATCGGCACATTCCAGAATAATGTACACGCGGCGTTCATCATGGAAGTAGCCTTTCAATCGAAGAATGTTGGGATGCCTTGAAACAACCGTGTCACTGCTAAATTCTGCAGAAAATTTGTACAAACATCCGTACCGCAAATGATATTGTATTTCGATTTCGCGCTTGACTTGATGCTGGACCTTGTGCTTCTTGATTTGATCTTTGAACAGAACCTAAAATAAATCGTATAGCAGAGTCAACCCTGCGTTGCGCAGTTCTCAACGGCCACGTTGCGCAGTTTCGCCCGATTAGACACGTTCTCTCGCGCGAACATTCACACTCGCATGCTCGAGCCGTCTGTGTCTCCGCCCATACAGCGTGCGTTGAGGATCTCTCAACGTGCCGTTGCGAACTGCGCAACGCAGGGTTGACTCTGCTATAGCCAGTGCGATGCAGCCGCAAAAGAAGATATATGTAAGCCAGGTAAAGCAGAGGTAAAAGGGATACAGGATGAAGCTTTCAGCGTTGACCGAACACTTTCAAGATGCGTCACGAACCCCACTTCCATTCAAAACCGCTGTGGCATATAAATGAGGTAAACGGTACAGGTCATTGTTTTGATCTTCCCAGATGAGTCTACTACCAATGGATCGACCCCGGAGGAATAGAGGCTTGACTGACGTGGGCGAAATTTGAATACAGATCTGACTCCCCGGACCGTGCGCATAGGAAGTGCGTTACATGCCACTACTGCCAAAGCTAAAAGTTGCTCCATTTCTCAAGAACCGTCCGTAGATCGACACCTGTCTAACGCTGCGATCATTACGATCGGACGACCGACTGTGAAAGTACCTTAGGCGATAAAATGAGGAATTCGAATGATGTTATAGTCCATATCTCGTATGGAGCGTTCAGAGTTGGTGATCGTGCGTGCGATTTGGCGATTGGACGATTAGTCTATAATGAAACGTATGGATCAGGCGATTAGGCGATTAGGCGGGGAAGGCAACATACGTATTGATTGATTAGCTTCGCCCATAGAACGTTGTAGGCGAGCAGGCGAGTAGGCGATTAGGCGATCGCTGTATGGCGCACGCATAGTCGGTTGTCCGACAGCAACGATCGCAAGTGTCGCATGAGATTAGGGTGAGTAATCGAGTTCGTCGAAGGGCGAATTACGATTCGTTGCTGGGACGGACGACGAAGTTATTACGACTATTCCACACTACAGTGGGACTTTCGAAATACGATCACGCGCAGTCACGTGTTGTCTGGGTTTGCATTGGGTGACCGCGTCGCCTTCCATTTGCGACCGCGGTTTATGCGACACCTGCAGTCGTTGCTGTCGTCGTCGACAGCAGCAGTCGTTGCTGTGACGCGCGGCGATTAAAGCGAAAAGTATCAACGCATGTTTGCTGTCGGCGATCGACTATGGCGTGCGGCCTATGGGTGGAGTAGACACATCAATCGTACCCTGTCTTCTTATCGTACTCGCTATTAGCTAATCGACTAATTCACCTACTCGCTATATTCGATACATATGGCTTTTCTTTTTCAAATGTCGCTTATCGCCTAATCGAAGCACGTGCCACTATGCGCTCAGCTAGTTACATTAGGAGTTGCCTGTGGATTTGAAGTGTGGATAGCTGTTTTCTACAGCTTGCTGGGTTATCTCAATGTTGCTGGGAGCGCTTACTTGCGCACTTCTATCAAGTGCGCGGTTCCCGGTCGTCATAGGGCTAGCCTACTGACGGGAGTCACCGCTTATAAACTTCGGCAAATGGATCAGATGTGCGCACAAATAACCTTGCTTTTTCGAGGTGTTACGGTATAAGTCACAGTAGCACAAACCTTCAATGCGACTACGACACGTTCTGGCTTATAACGAGCGAGGAAAACGGAACCGAATTTTCCTTTGCCAAGCGGCCGTCCAATATCGAAATCGTCAATTCCATCCTCTGCGAACTGAAATTGATATGATAGGTTCAGAGAAATTGCGGAACAATGTCCTGACTGCTGGAACAGAGCGAAATGTGTTCATCCACAAAGGTCTTAGTTGCGAGTAGATCAGAGTAGAATTTGTCCACTTAGGCGAGATGAGCACTGGGGTTCCTGAAGTTTGATAGAATGCGTGTTTGGCGGGCGAGGAGTAAACTCCAGATGATTTTAACCTGAGTGTCCCTCAGGACGCAAGGGTGGGCTGCAACGGTCAGTAATCTAAAGTGATGTATAGAGAGAGCTAATAAGATGCTGGAGGGTAGTTTGCTTAAACTAGCTTCAGAGAATCCATTGATCTTTAGTAAATGCCCTGTCGTGCCAATTATACGAAGTTATACGAGTTTATATTGATAGTGCATCAAAGAACGGACAACCCACCCACCCCGCTGGGAGAGAACAACTAAAGGAACCTGACTAGCCACGATTCAAAATGATTCCGTGAGGATATGAAAATGAAAGTTCCCGCCGCACGAGCAGAAGTGGCCGTGGGACGCGAATTTACCATGGGTCGCTGGTTGCTCTGTTCAATTTCTATCAGTATATTTCGGTAGTTTTAGTTCATGGCAGATTTCTTATGAAGTTGCTAGTGAATCTTAACCGTACTGAGAAGAAGGTACTGTTTCAAGCGGTTGTACTGGGCTCGAGACTATGCAATCTTCGCCATTTCCACCATTTAATCGGTCTCACCATTTTGCGCTTATTCCTGAATTTCAATTTTTCTTTATATTAATAGTTTCGCTATACGGAAACATCAGGGATCGACTAATTGGGTTACTCTCAACACCAAAAATCCAGCAAATTTCTCCAAACTATTGATCATTCATATTTCACTAAGCAAAATTCATAGGCAGGTGTTCCGATAAAATGGAGGTCGTAGTGGAGGGAAGGGGAAGGGTGAGGGGAGGGGGAGTACATCTACCATAAAGGGAGGACAGGTCCCATGAGGAAGCAGACTACGCGCGTTTTGCAGCGAAGAGTATGCTCCAGCGGCTTAACAGTGAAGCAGTTGGTCCGGAAGCTTCCGGTCCGGATGGAGTACCCATAGAGGCTTGGAAGGCGCTGGAGAGCACGGGGTAAGGTGGCTCACCCGCTTCCTGAATACGGTGACTGCCGAAGGAAGGATGCCGGATGCCTGGAGAACAAGTACTATCGTCCCCATCTTCAAGCAGAAGGGTGACGCGATGGACTGCTCCAACTACCGCGGATCAAGTTGACTGCGCATACCATGAAGTTGTACGAGCGCTGGTCGACTCGAAACTGCGGGAGCTGGTCCCGATCTCCCAGGAACAGTTCGGGTTCATGCCCGAAAGGTCTACAACGGATGCCATCTTCATCGCTAGGCAAGTGATGGAGAAGTATCGAGAAAAGCGCCGACCCTGCTACCTAGCCTTCCTCGACCTGGAGAAGGCGTTCGACCGGCTACCGCGAGCAGTACTATGGAGATCGCTCAGGGAACGGAACGTGCCAGAACACCTGATCTCTCTGGTGAAGGACATGTACGAGGCTAAGGCAGCTATACGCACCCCACACGGCCTAACGAAGGAGGTGGACATCACGGTTGGGGTGCACCAAGGGTCAGCTCTGAGCCCGTTCCTCTTCCTCCTAACACTAGATGTCCTGGTGAAGGGCTCATGGAGGGACCACTGAAGACATCCTCTACGCTGACGACATCGCCTTGATAGCGGATAGTAGAGAGGAACTTCAAGCCAAGGTGCAGAAATGGCAGAAAGTCCTGACAGAAGGTGGGCTACGGCTGAATGTCAAGAACGACCACCAAGTTCCTGAGCTCCGAAGAGGGTGGAAAGACAGCCGAAACAGTGGACGGCCATGGTGAGACCATCGAAAAGAGTGGAGGACTTCAGATACCTCGGGAGCGATCTGGCAGCCGACGGAAGTGTGGATCAGGCAGTGAAGGCACGAATCAATCAACGGCCTGGATGAAGTGGAGGGAGTCCACTGGGATCCTCTGCGATCGAAGGTGCTCCAGAACACTGAAAGGAAAGGTGTATCGGGCAGTGGTGAGGCCTGCGATGCTATACGGCAGCGAGTGCTGGCCCCTGAACAAGAACCACGAAAGGCAGCTTCACTCCGCTGAGATGAGGATGCTGAGGTGGGCCTGCGGCTGGACGCGACTGGACAGGGTCAGAAACGAGGATGTAGAGCGGTCATGCAGACTGCCCCTGTCCAGCCTAAAGGACTGTGCGGAACAGCGTCTGCGATGGTATGGGCATGTGCTAAGGAGGCCACAGGACCATCCGATAAGAACAGCGATGGACTTCGAAGTACAAGGCAAGCGACCGCGAGGAGCCCCGAAGAAAAGGTGGAAAGACGTAATCAAGAAGGACCTAGGTGAGGTTACGGCCACGATGGAAGATGCC